ACAGCGATTTTCAATTCTACTTACAAAGCAGAAAATACTTCATTGTAATCATTTACCAAGGCAGTACATATCTCAATTTTCAGATTTAAATGTTCAATAAGAATAGAGAGCATTAAATTGCAAGAATATATACAGGCTATAAATTCTATTCCCAATTTGGTGTTGGATACCAAATTAATTTCACAAGAAAGAGACTAGACTCATAATGGGAGTAATCAACTGCTGCTGTGAAGACTAAGACATTTATATTATTACAACTGCAACAAATTCTGAAATTAATCACTGAAACCGTCTTAAATTGTGTGAGTTCTTTAAAACACGGGGTTTATTGCTGCATGTCTGAGAAAGATTAATACTATATATCATTACCATTATTTACATACCTTTGGGAAATTGCAAAAACAGCTTCATATATTTTAAGTACACAAAGTACTTTAAGTACCCAAAAAAATTATGGGGGAAAGTATAAGCTGTTCAAGTCATTTATCAAGTATTTTTCAAAATCCCACTATCACCCAAGGTTAGTATTTAATAACAATATTTGAGTTTTCAGCTTTGAGTTTTAAAAGTGGAGATACAATTCACATACTATAATATTCACTGTCTTAAAATATACCATTCAGTGTACTTACGAAGTTGTACAACCCCTGCCAGTATTAATTCTACAATTCTCATGACCTCAGAAAGATACCTTTTATGCATCAGCAATCGCCCTCCCACTCTGGACTCTGGCAACTACCATTCTGATTTCCACTAATCTCTATGAATTTGTCTATTCTGGACATTTCATATAAACAAAATGTACTGTAACTACTATGGGAATCAGTATGGAGAGTCCTCAAAAAACTGAAAGTAGGAATTCCACTTGACCCAGATATTCCCTTTATAGGTGTCTTCCCAAAAGAGTGAAGGGCGTCACATTACACTGATCCAGGCATATGCATACCCATAGCAGAACAATTCATAATCGCTAACTCTTGGAGATGGCTTGTATGTAAATAAATGAACAGATAAAGAAAATATGGTATTTATACACAATGAAGTACTACTCTGCCATAATGAAGAATAACCTTGTGTCATCTGTAACAAAACAGATGCACCTTGAGGCCATAATGTTAAGTGAAATGAGATACAAAAGCTTAAATAGTGCATGGTTTTTATAACTCAAAATATAAATAAGAAGCAAAATAACAGACAGGGAGGTAAATCTTTTCCAAGTAGGAAGGGGATCAAGAGAGAGAGGGAAAGGAAGGGACAGGAGGGGAAAAGGAAGCGGAAGGGAAAAGGAATGAAAAAGGAACTGAGATGTGTCATGTACATGTACCAACTCCCCAAGAGGAATGTAATCACTATGTACGGCAAACATGCACTAAGGAAAAGAGACAAAAAAAAATGAAGTCATACAACATGTAGCCTTTTTTGTATAGCTTCTTTTCCTTAGCATGATGTTTTCAAAGTACACCCATGCAGTGAGCAATTATCAATATTTCCCTTCTTTTTGTTGTCAAATAATACTTCACAGTATAGGTATATCACATTTTGTTTACCTATTTATCAGTTGATGGAAAGTGGTTTCTACCTTCTGGCTATAATGCCAAAATATATAAATAAATATAGGCATATATAAAATATAGAAGTAGTAAATATAGGAGTAATGCTCCTATGAGCATTCATGTTCAAGTCTTTGTGTGAATGTGTGTTTTCAGACCTTTTGGATATATATTTAGGAGTAGAGTTACTGGGTCATATGGTAACTCTATGTTTAAGCTTTTGAGGAAGTGACAAATTGTGTTTCTAATTTCTGTATCATTTTACATTCCCTCCAGTGGTGTATGAGGGTTCTGATTTCACCCATCTTCAATAATACTTGATTTAAGTATCTTTTCTTTCTTTCTTTTTTTTTTTTTTACTGTAGTCATCCTAGTGATTATAAAGTGGTGTTGATCTGCATTTCCTTAATGGCTAAAGATAATGAGCAAAAGCTTAAAATACAATATAAACACACATGTTCGCAGGCGCACAGATCAGAATGTATCAGCCATCTCCCTCTCTTGATCTCTCCCAAGAAATTTAACAAGTTCCAATTGAGAGAAGCCTTCCGAGACATAAAACCACCCAGAAACCATCTGGCTAAACTGCAAAGCTGCAGCATCCCCATCCTCCTGTGATGTGACCTGCTGAAAGGAAATGTGGGTGCATTTCAGTAACGGTTCAGCTTAGGCCAACACATTCAACGATAAATATTGTAGTCATTTTGAAAGAAACAGAGGTTAAGTATGCTTCATTCTGCAAGCAATGCAAAAATGCTATGGCAGAGCAAATATTTACACTAAGCATAAAAACTTCCTTTGCTTTTTGAGTTGCAAGAACAATGAATGAGTTCATAAGAAACAGCACATTAACCCCGTCAAAATATACACAAAGCGTTGTGTACAATTTTCCCTTTTATTTCATTTTAGTATGGTCTGCTCTCTAGGAATAACTGAGCTGTCACATTTCTTCTCACTCCTGTAACTCAGAAATCTTATTATTCATGGCATTTCAAGTCCAAAGTTAAAAAACTATTTTCTCTATTTGCTAATGTACATCCAATTAATGAGAAAATTTTTGCCTAGCACAATAATAAAATTCTTTGTTCTTCCAATAAAACTTCTTGGTATAATTTTATTTTTCTTAAAAGGTACTAACTTGTTTAGGTCCCTAAAGATCTCAATTACAAAATGCAGATGTTTCCAGATATTTTTGAAAATTTAAAAAAATGGCATAGTACATAATGCAACTGCATTTAGTGAAAAACAAGAATTTATTAACAATACTTGCAAATCAATGTTTTCTCTTTTCAAATATATAAATGCATTTCAAAAAGCTGTGCTACACACAAAACAGTTTTATGAACATGTAAATTATACTCTTAAAACTTAATATTTAAATATTAACTATAATAGCAGATGGTGTGGCTTCACATCATTACATCATGTTCAATTTACCAGAATGCATCATCTACCTAAGTTGATTAGTTAGTAAATAGGGAGTCCTGGGGGTATAGTATGGAATCTTCATCAGACAGAATAATCATTTGATGACAAGTTGCACATAAATGACAATTTTGTCTGGTTCTCTAAATCTGTTAAGTGGCTTCCTTAGCTACACTAATGATAAAATCAAAAGGAATCAGAGTAGAGCTCTCTTTTTTATTTCACATTGAAAGCAGATACAAAGAAATGAAGATAATCGAATGAAAACTGACTTCATGAATAAAAAATGAAAACTGGAATCAAATTATATTAAGATAATGGGAATCTACTCTTTATGAATATTGTGACACTCAGTAATTACATTCCAGTATCTATTCATGGAATTATCTACAACTTCAACTATGCTCCAGAAGAAAAGGGGAATTAAGAGCATTTTCTCCTTCTGAAGGCTGCTGAGACTTTTCACACAGTGGTTCTGCAAACTCATATATTTCATCATAAGCGGAATCCTTAAGAAACTCTCTTCACTGGGCATGTTTAGCACACACCAGTTATCCAAGCATGCTGGGAGGCTGAGGCAAGAGAATTAAAAGTTTGACACCAGCTTGGGTAAATGAGCAAGATCCTGTCTCAAAAACTAAAAATAGGGCTGGGAGCCTATTTTTGTACCTCAGTACAAAAGGTACAAAATTTTGTACCTTTGTACCTCAGTACAAAGTCCCAGTTTCAATCCCAGTGCTGGGGTTGGGGGAAGAAAAGTAAAAGAAAAAAACAAACTGTCTTATCTTGCTTGACACACTTACATCTTTCTAGTGGGAAGTGAGAAGATCCAGAGATTTTAGTGATTTTAAAATACAAGCACTCTCCTCTTTTCCTTTTTACCTCATGCACCATCTCCTCAAAGAAATCCAGAGAGATACAAAATTAACCATCCCTTAGCAGGTCAGGTTCAACTGCCCTTCATAATAGCCTGCCTTAAGTATCAACGTCATCCATATAGAAGGCATACACAGGCAGATTACATGAACTTGGAAAAGATGTAACTCTACTAGACAGACGTAAGAATGGTCCAGACAAGCAAGCAACCATTAACAATCATATATTACGCTGTGACAGACTCAGACTAATAAAGGTTTGGTCTCTGACACCTCACATTCTTTCCCAATGTGCTTACACAGTGCCTGACTTGATCTGGTTAAAATCCAACTTCATTATGTCACCCTTCTCCTTTAATCCATCAAGTGGCTTTTGACACTTTACCACCAAAAGACTCAATTTAGTGTCACAGTTAACATAATGAACTGTGGTGCCAAAGGGCCTGGGTTCAAATCCTGGCTTAATCACTTAGAAGTTCTAAGATCTTGGGAAAGTTCTTAATCTATGCCTAAGTTTCTTCATTTATAAAAGAGACATTAAGAGTAGGATTTGCCTCATAGAACTGTTGGTTAATATATGTAAAAATACTTGGAATGATGCCTGAAACATAATAAGAACTAGGTAAGTATCGGTTGACATTAAATCTTAATTATCATCATCTGATTAGCCTCAAGCTCTTCAGCCCAGGAATCAAGGTCTTATAACACTTATGTATCTTCCAATAATATTTATGCAATTATGGTTTAGAAGTAGTTATGTTCAATTTGCTTCATTTCCCTTAATTCTCACAATCCTGTGAAGACAGCATTAGTTTCACTTTATCTCCTATAGCAATGATGGTAAACCTTTTAGAGCTTTCAATGACAGACTGCAGCTGTGTGTGTGCCAGATTCGCCACCACTGTCCTAGAGGGGCTACCCAGCACTTGCCAAGAAAATCACCTAATTGACCTGCTACCCACTCTGAAATATGATGTACAAAGCTGCAAATATGAGAAGTAACTCCATGGACGTTCTGCAGGGATGTTGAAAAGTCAGCGCTCAGCTTTCTCTGTCCAAGGTGCTTAATCAGCAAGGCCATCTCACAGATGGGCAGTCACGTGGGCTCTCCCACCACCAGATGTCACTAAAGTGGATTTTACACACATACCAGCTCTTATTTGAAGCTTAGATTTCAGTTCACTGCTTCAAACGTAAGAGGCCAATTTAGTGAAGATCCCAGCAGTTCTGGTGAAAAAGAGAAAAAGACAGGAAGACATAAATTCTTTGTAATACAGGAAAGACATCAAAATGACAAGGCCCATCAACTGGACTCAAATCCAGCTCTTCCCACAGCCCATACTGCTGTCAAACCCTTCAATGTTCTGCCTCTTACAACTGCAACTCAGACTACTGCTGTCTATACTTACAAGAAGCCCAGGCAACAGTTCGCTCATCCCTTAAGAAAGCCAAATTCTACCTTGTGTATTTCCACATCATGAACAAATGTCTCAAATACCTGTAAGTTAAAAATCTTTAAGTTTTAGGCTGTGATCTAGAGGCAAGCCAAGAAATAGCTCAATGTCCTGCTTCATAGCCAATATTCTTTTTAACGTCAGTCAAATAGTCAAAAGATGTCAACTACTTTTCTTTCCCATTAATGTTTCTTGGAGGATAAAACTGAAGAGAATTTTTAAGCACTAAAAGGAACTAAAACAATGTTTCATTTTTGCTCAGCTTTTATTCATAATAGTGTAAAATTTAATCAGAACTTAATGGGAAAGAGTGATTAAAAGTGTGAAGATTTCAATGCGTACCCTCTGTCTTAGTTACTTTATTCATTGCTGAAACAAAATACCCAACACTCAAAGTTAGAGGAGGAGAAGTTTACTTGGCTCACAGTTTATAGAGGTTTCAGTTCATAGATGGTTGGCCCCGAGGCAGGATGGCATGGCAAAGGGGCATCCCAGAGGAGGCAGAAGGCAAAAGGGAGCACAGGCAGCAAGCAGCAAGTGACAAGCAGCAACACTCTTTCTGTCCCTTATATCCTATACAGACTACCCACCCTTAGGGTAGGGACACTCACACCCAGGGTGGGGCAGCCTTAATCCTAGCATCGCAACATGAATCAATCCCAGTATCACATTCTTGATCCCAGCAGCACACACCCTGGATCCAGCCACCTCCAAAAAGCCCAACCTATGACCACATGAGGCTTGGGGGGCAGGGATCTAGATACAAGCCATAACACCATCTAAAAGCAAAAGTCTTGCTTTTATGAAAAGTAACTTACCAAAAGAGGTAAGGCAAGTAGAACAAGAAATCTTAAGTTAGATATAGTTTCTGGCAATTGCCTTAGCTCAGGCTGCTATAACTAAGTACCACAGGCAAGGTTACTCATAAACAACAGAAACTTTTCACAATCCCGGAGGTTGGACATCTGAGATCAGGGTGCCAGGATGGTCACATCCCAGTAAGAGTCGGTCAAGTCCCAGTAAGAGTCCTTTCACAGGCTGCAGACTTATCTTTTTTTGTTGCATCTCATACAGTAAAAAAGGGTAAAAGAGATCTCTGGGTTTCTTTCACAAGGGCACTAATGCCATTCGTAAGGGATGCACCCCCACGAACTAATTACCTCCCCAATGTTCCACTTCCCAATACTATCACACTGGGTTTTCTGGAGTCATCAGAAACTCTAGATGCAAATCCTGATTCTGAATTACACTGCAGACATTTTTATAAAATTTGTTTTTACAAACACTTCACATTACTGAGGCAAACCTAAGGTGGTAGCCATGAAAAGAGAAGTTTAAATATGGGAAAATGATTTCAAGTGATACAATTCTGTTTCTAAGCCATTGAAATACATGTCCAAGCCAGTAAAAAGACCTGCCTAAAGAAACTATCAAGACTTGACAACTAGTTCTAGCGTACAAATCCTATGATATTCAATAAGTAAATGTGATTGAATCACAGTGTTTATGGAAAGGTTAGGTCGACTTTACCTAAGAAGAAATACTGAGGAACAAAAAGAAAATAGGTTAAACAGAAGACTTCAACTCCTAACCTGAGCTTGCCACTAAGGAGGAGGAGGATAAAATGGTCTAAAGAAATAAAAAAAGCAAGCAAACAAACAAAAAACCCAACATCACAACAACACCAAGTTTTTCTACTGAGGACCTGCTCCAAGGATAAAAGATCCAAAGGGACTATGTACTGGCTTTGGACACAGGCATAAGACTCAGGGAGGAGCTGCAGACAGGAAATGCTCTGAACTAGTTTCAATAATAGTAACAGAACAAAAACAAAAGCTGTGTGTCCATTTTAGATCAATTTGATTTAATTACACAGCTAATAAAATTAAGGTTCAAAATTAATATATTCCTAGGGACTTTCATGAAAATGAAAGGAAAAGATGAGGCCTTGGTAGTGTGAGGCAGGAGCAGCAGCCCCTCAGTAACCTGGAGACCTTCATAAAAAAGCAAAGACAATAATAAAGAACTAGAGTGACACTCCCCATCGAAACAGCACTTTCACCTCTGCTTTTGCCAGCTATGCTGGCCTTGCCCAGCCTGGTTCAGCTCCCAACTTTGTGGTCCTGGATACCTAAGATCATGAACCTGAACAACTGTCTGAAAGATCTAAGAAAATCAGGTGGTTTTCTGTTTGCTCACCTTTTTTTTTGTGTGTGAGGGCAAGGCGATGACTCCCAAGCTGTTCTTTGTATGTCAGAGCTCATTCCACTGCCTTCTGATGTCTTAATCACCAAAGAATTAAGAAGGACATAATCTCAGCACAAAGGATCTCTTTCCCAAGAAGGGCCACTGCTGACTCTCATTATACACATCAAAATATAAGTGTGCATTTTGAAAATATTTGCATATAGCCAAGGCCACTGCATAAAGGTTTTACTCTACATCAGTTGTTTCCTTGATAAAGTCAATTTACAAATTTATATTCAAGCAAATAAAACAAAGTAATGTTCAAAGCCCAACTTTTTTGAACATTATGAACTATACCTATCCAAATCTGCAGTTATAACTCTCCTCCCATGGCAGCTAAAGCTTCACCCACTGCTTGACAATAACTAAATCCTTCTAACCATTTTCACAAGCTCGGGACTTTCTGAAAGTAAAGGGCCATGCTGACTACAGAGCTTACGTATCTCTTAAACATTTAACACGTGTAAAACTGTGCTATCATTTAACTAGGTTCCTATCTTTTCTTGAATGTGGCACTGACGAAATTTTTTGAATGTTCTGCAGACACCATTTGTCACAAAACTCTGTGGTTTCCATGGGATGACTCTGCATAGTAGAGTGACTCTTAGGAATGTGTATGTCATATTCTAACAGGCTCACTGTGCTGAGCGCATGAAGTATACGGGTGAGAAGACAGCCCAACACCTACGAGCTCCTGGTTGCCAGCCATTATTATGCCATTTCTACTCCATGTCTTATTCATACACTCTTATTTTTTAACCAAACTCATCAAAGGCAGAGATTCTCATCAGTCAAATGCTCAAAATACCACATGCCCTTAGCTTTCTCAGACAAATTACAGTAAGGAGAAATAAATTCTCAACATCAAATGCTGCTATTTTCCCCCTTATGACTTTTCCATCAGAAGTTGTTTCACCTTTCCCTCCATTCATATAGACTTTTTATTTTAAAGATTCATTTAATTTGGTATTTGTTTACTGGACTGTATATCCTAAATGTGCCAAGGTTTCATGTCTGATTATAGTTATCCAAGGACACAGACAAGATATTTTGTGTTGTGCCTGATGCTTTCGGTAGAACAAATAAGTATAATATTCACTTGCAGGCTATAATCCTGACCACCAATTTCAACAAAGAAGTCATGGAAGAGTAAAAATAAGAGCCCAAGATCAGATGTACATTCAGCTCTATGAACAAGCTGCATCTACATTCATTGTGCATGTTTCACTTCCAGACAGCCTACAAGGTCAAACTACTAACTGTCAGTTACAATAAGCTTCTAAACTTCTGGTCAATTACCTGGTTAATAACAAAAGACAGGGCTATGACATCATTACAGTTATAATTAATTTACACAGAGCAGCTTCCTATTAATCAAATACATCTTTAAAAGCATTTAATTATTTTTCACCTAGAAAGCAACATTCAGCTTTGTTAAATGAAAAGCAATCCTGCTGAATTCAACATGAAAGGCTGTCAGGCTGCTGTAAGACATAAAGGAAAAAAGCCTTCACAGGGCACACTGCTGCAATATACGAGCTATTGCAACATGCATAGCAAAAAAAGCTGTACAAAATGATGGATAATACATCACACTTTAACAGTTTGAGAACATAAAAAAGTTGTCAGGGAACTGAGAATAAACAGCCTCTGAGAAAAGAAATGTCCCAATGCTTTCATCAAAATTATATACAAGACTAGTAATATTAACATATGCAGTAAAAGACACTATAGTCAAGGGTATGGTCTCTGAGATAGATAGATAGACAGATGATAGATAGATAGATAGACCATAAATTGGGAAATGATAGTGTTTGTGCATATAGACAAAAAAAGAAGATAAAATGTTTAAGTAGTTTTAAAATGACTTTTTATAACAGTACTGTAATTAATTAACATTTTCTAGGAGATTATAAACTTTTTAAACTGCATTATATCATTCAATTATGTATCCTTTTTAAACAGTAAGATAAGGTATGTTGAAGGGTCATGAAATGATTTTTAATTAAATTGTATTATATAATCTCAAACCAGAGTTTCTGTCAGGATCATCTGAAGATCTGAGAATTTAATGAGCCTCCACTTTGGGTGAATAAAAAAAAAAATCTCAATACGTTAGCTGACAAAATTTCACTTTCCCTTCTTTCCAAAAATGTTATTGTTTCAAAAGAAATGATTAATCATATTTACATATATTATAATTACATATAATTACATATAAAAATAAGAAATGAAACTACTAGATTTTGTATATAATTCTGAATTCTGTTCCACAGCTAGGTAAATCAATGCCAACTCCAATTCTGAACCATCACCACTTATGATTTCCAGTATCAATCACAAGCCAGTTCCTTCTCTCTTAGACCACAAGCTTCAGTGTAATGAGGTCTCATTAAGGCTCTCTGGCTGACGACCCTTCAGACCTACATGTTTAAACCAGGAGACACACAGGGAGCTGCAATGCAAGCACCCAGGCTCACTCCCTTCAAGAGGATTTAAGGAATTCCATTTTCATGTTTGCACCAC